TGTGGTATCTCTTCTCACCAATACCACGAGATAAAAATATACAAAATGGTTAACGTGTATAAAAAGTTTTATTAATAATAACTGGTTAAAATGAGTTTTAGTAACACGTGKTGGATACAATGCGTTGTGTGTCGTTTAGCGTGTATAAAAGCCATTAACTATAGTTCTTTTGTTTTACATGTTGTTGGTCTGTTTTATCATTTTTAGGTATAGTTATATAAGCGGTCTGTAGAGGCGTGACTGTTGATACGCGTCCGCTACAACTGTTTTCTAGAGACTCTACCATATTGTCTTTTTTTTACGGCTTAGGCCGTAAAGTTTACCTCCCTCTTTTTTACGGACTTTTCGTGTACACCTAGACGGAATTGAGAGAGATTGTAAAAAAAAGTCACATTCTAGTGTACCGACCGATGATTTTGAGTAAATTTTAAACTTAGTTACTATTGAGTGGCGCTAATTATTTCTCTGCTGGCAGTTTATTACGAAGCGGACCTAATTTTAATAAAATAACCACGCCATTTTATTAATAAATACACGATACAAGTGAATATTCAGCGTATTTTTTAAAACAAGTAATACAACATAGTGAATTATTTGTTTAAAAAATATTTATATTTACCTATAAGTGATTGATTAAAAAAATTTAGTTTTTTTGCCCTTATGAAACTTCATAAAATTTAAATATGTCATTATTTGCCTCCTATCTCTCAAAAGTTAAACTAATGGAGCGATAATGACAAAAAATATTGTATGTCGTATTTGTATTTGTATGTCGTAATTGTATTGTATTTCAACATTTGAAAAAGACATTATTCTAATATTTTTATGCTACTAGGGTAAATAATACAGAAAAAAGAAATAAAATAAAAACCATAATAAGAACAAAAAAAGTTCATTTGATTAATAAATTAGATGGATGTGATCTATTAGGACAAAATGAAATTTTATAATATATCTACTCTTTAACTTTTTTCTGTTAATAAAAATAATATACTAGCAATTTTGATGGAAAGAGATGGAACGAATTACTTGTAATAATAAGTTCAATAATTAATTATCTTATTTACCAACAACGAAAAAAGACGATCATAAAGTCGTTTGTAAAAAGCGTTTGTTTTTACTTACGATGCCAGACACTGTGTAATGCTTTTCGGTTGTTAAGGGTAAGAGATCTGTCAAGATGGCACCATGCAAAGCTTCCGCGAGCTCGGAGGGTGCACAACCACCACCGGGTCGAGTCCACCATTCTTCTGCATAAATGCCCATTACGACCCATTGGTACTTTCTTCCGTACATCCCGAACCTAAAAAATCATAGACATATATGTCTGATAAGTCAGAAATAAATTAATTAAAATAGAGCAGAAGAAAATGAAATAAGCAAAAGAATTGCTTTGAGTGGTATTTTCCTACAACGAAGTTGGAATACTGAAATTTGGATATGCGATTGTTGTTAATCTTACTTGTCTTATAAGCAATAAATGCTGTCAACGCCTTTGCATATTTACAAGAAGTATGTAATTTTGTTAATTTAGTTTTTTTTTTTAATTCACATAACAACATTTATGATTTTTACATCCAGAAGCAATAAAGCAAGAGAGGTGCATAGCGATCTACGGTGTTATTTCGTCTTTTGAATATCTCGGATTTTGTTTACTATTTCAACAAAAAAAGCTCTTTTTAGAAATACAGATAATATTCTGGAGATTTTCGGAGTCGATAGTAGGCAATAATTGAAGATATAATTCTAAAAAAGAAGTCGATGCAGGTTTTATAGGTTTTCTAGGCACTTTCCATTAATATTCTGATCATCTTATTGTTAGACAAACAATAGACTGAGAGTATTGTAAGTATTGTAACACTTAACTATCTAAACTAAAAATATCAACTTTTTTTTTTAAGAATAGTGAGAGTGGACTTGTCCTTGATTGGGCAAATAACAGATTCTAAAATCTTAAACTCCACCTTCACTATTCTTAGAGGAAGGACTTTTGTGGTTTCCGATGTAGCAATATGGCAAGTGTACTTGTTACAGATCAGTTGAATTTTACAATTAGATAACATCACAGATAAGTTGCATTCCAAGATCACTTAAATTTGACATCACACGCAAAATAATTATCAAAGCAGGTGCAAGTTGCAAGTTTGTAGTTGTAATTCGGAAAAGAGATCATCAGAAATCACATTAATTCTTATATCAGGAAATCTCAAATAACTATTACAACGTAGTATAATTGTAAAATGCTTTTAATATACTTATTGTTACCGAAAAGTGAGATATCGTAATATCACAACAGCTACATCCTATATCACGTTAATACAACGGACACACCGGCATAAGCGATATTCAACCATGATCATTTTAAAGAAAATATCATTAATCTAAATAGTGTCTTTCTTTCTTTTAGTTTCATAAATTAAGTTTTTGAGGTTTCTGAATTTTATTTTAGTGATAATATTAATAGTAATGAATAATAATATTTCATTATTCGTTAGATACAATTGCTAGATAAATTTTTTTGGAATTATTACAATATAAAGTTTTGATATTTTATTGGCAATATGTATACTAAAAATGGCATACATACGCATTTATACTTCTCAAAAAATTCTACATCAGTATATAAAGCAACATATAGCATAAACACCCTACAAAATATTTGACTTTAACGGCTTTAGCTCATTACAATTTCTAAATTATTTATTGGCAAAGTAGGATATCATATATATAAAAACGAATAAGTCACAAACACAAACTCAAATAATTTATACATCCAGAATACCAACTTGTAGGCCTCGCAGAATATCCTTCTCGCCCAGTTTTCATTAAAATTTCCAAGAATGATCCTTACGTCCTTTTCTTTCAATTTCTCAAGTGCCGTTGTGACATCTGTTGCAAAACTCTGTGTTTCCACGACCTCCATCTTGTTTTTATCCAAATCAGAGACCAAATGATTGTGCGCCTGTGATTGAAAAAATATATAAAATTACATAGAAAAATATATAGTAGATATAACAAAATATACCGTATAATTAAAATATGCATTTCGAAAAATACTATTTTTTGAAGTGAAAACTTCTTTAGAATAGGGAGTGATTTGAAAAAAATGAAACGCTGGTTCAGGCAACAAAGCGGTAGATGGCGAGGCAACGGAGCCTGTATACGGATAGGCAACGGAGCCTGTATACGGATAGGCAACGGAGCCTATATACGGATAGGCAACGGAGCCTATATACGGATAGACAACGGAGCCTATATACGGATAGGCAACGGAGCGACGGGCCGCTATGCAACGGTCACGATATTTAGTAAGAAGAGAAATAGAGACAAACATATAGGATTAATCCTGCGAAAGAATGAGACAGAATATAGCTATATAGTTTTTCCTATTCTCGGTCTCCTCTTTATGCTCTGCTTCGTAGTTATCGCTTCTGGTTGTATATGTGTGTGTTTGTGTGCGATTGCATACTACGAAACGTGAACACATATAGAATAATTTCGATACTATATCTGTTTGTAGGAAAGAGCGATAGAAGGATAGAAGAATAAACAGAGATAAGCACGTAGGTATGCGACAAAAGTATAAGGTCCAAACGAACCGACGGTCGAAATAAAGAAAAAAGGTGTGAAGTCCGTCTTTGCAAGTTGTATAAGTGTGTAAGTTTGTGTGAGCTGGAAGATATATATATACGTGTCATTTCTTTTTTATTTTTCTATTTTTCTATTTCTGTTTAAAAATGTTTTTATTTTATTGAAAAATTAATATTAAATTTTTTATATCGCAAGTATTATAATTAATAATTATGAAACATATAGAATATAATAATTGTATTGTCTGCAATAATTTACACACACACAAAAAAATATGTGTGCAGATCACACGTGTTAGAAGTGAAACCTTCAAAAATCTAAGTTTCGAGAGAATGAAACGAATGCACAGTTTCAAGAGTAAGATAATTGTAGGATTTATTTATTATAATATTATTACCATATATAATAAAAGTCACCTGGTGGAATAGCTGATAAAAAGGACACTTTTCCAAATCCAAGCATTAAAAATTGAATGATGAGTGTAATAACCATAGATAGAAACAAAAATGGTAGAATGTTTGTCGGTGGAAAGATATCCTATCTTTTAACCTAAGTAAATATAATATATTTTTTTTTTGAAACTCAGGTAGATAAATTTTTTTTCTTTTACACTTTTCACACTTTCTGTGAATGTGAGATATCTTTATCATGGGTTAGCATACACAAGTATTTCTTTTTGTGTTGCAACTAATAACTGTAGATGCTGTTAAAGAAGGGAACAATTGTGGTCGTATTTTTTTCGTTTCATCGGGTTTTTAATTACAACGATTTTAATATCTATTTATCATTTCCGTTGTTTTATTTTATAATAATTAAAATTTAAAAAAAAATTTATTTTCTATATTTGTTTTTCGATATTTGTAAAATAAGTTATATTATTGTATTTTTATGGGAAATATAAAGTAAATAAGGTTTTATTTGTTTTTGTCACGTGTCTAGTTTCTTCTATTTAAAAACTTTTCTATTTTATTAAAAAATTAGTATAAATTTCTTAAATACACAAACATTATAATTAAAAAACATGTCTTTGGATATTTATAAGAAAAATATTCTACAATGTTGTCTAATTCTTTTTCTCTGATGTATCTGATAATCATTTCATTTTTTTGTAAAATATTGCAGACAATACAATTATTATATTCTGTATATTTTATAATTATTAATTATAATATTTGCGATATAAAGAATTTAATAATAATTTTTTAATAAAATATAAACATTTTTAAATAGAAAAGAAATGACACATTTGGTAAAAAAAAACAGACCACGCACCTTCTTTCTTTATTTCGACCGTCGGTTCGTTTGGACCTTATACTTTTGTCGCATACCTACGTGCTTATCTCTGTTTTATCTTCTACCCTTTTATCGCTCCTATCTACAGACATTTCGAGTATCGAAATAATATGTGTCCACGCTTTGTAGTATGCAGTTGCACACAAACACACACATATACATCCAGAAGCGATAACTACGAAGCAGAGCATAAAGAGGAGACCGAGAATAGGAAAAACTATATAGCTTTATTCTCTCTCATTCTCTCGCAGGCTCAATCCTATATGTTTGACTCTTTTTCTCTCATTATTTAGTATAGCAGCCGTTTCATAGCTTCGTTTCCTGACCGACCGCGTTTATTTACTTTTCAGATCTCTTCCATTCTAAAGAAGCTTTCACTTGAAAAAAATATATTATATTTACTTGGATTAGGACGGCATATCTTTCTGTCGACAAATATTCTACAATTTTTGTTTCTATTTATGGCTATCGCATTCAGCATTTCATCTTGATGGATAAAATTTTGAAAACATTAGTTTTTGTCAGCTACCTACACCGTAAGGTCGGTTACTTTTCATGAGAACAGAATTATATAAAACAGGGAAGATCCGTTGAAATTCGATCTATATTTATAATCTTTATTATCGATGCGATAATATTCATGCCTATAGTTTTTTTTTTACAACGTGTCATATCTTTTCTATTTAAAAATGTTTTAATTTTATTGAAAAATTTATAATAAATTCTTTATTTCGCAAATATTATAATAAATAATTATGAAGTACATAGAATATATAATAATTGTATTGTCTGAAGTATTAAAAAAAAAAAAAAGGTTTACCAGATACATCAGAGGAAAAGATTTAGAGAATACTGTGGAATAAATGAGGAGCAGCTGACAAATTCCATTCAAAAGTAAGTAAATTATTGTCACATTTTTATTTTTCTTCTTCATATAATATATTTGATCCACAAAGACAAAATATGTCTTTTAAATTTGATTTTTATATGTTTTCATAAAAATTATCCAAAGAGACATGTACTGACCTAGGAATAAAAAAAAATTTTATTATTAATTATAGTTTTTACGTTATAATGAAATTTACGGTTATTTTTGATTCAAATAAAAACATTTTTAACTGGCTGAACGCCCAGCGTGAATTGGTGGAGTTTACTAAGGGTCCCAAATTCGAGACTCGTTGTTTACACATTTCGATAAGCTGAGTGAGCGATACGATTCAATTCGTTTTTTTAGATTTTTCGTTGTTTAGATCTTTCTTTAGACGAGAGTATTTAGAAAGATAAGTTTGTGTTCCAAAGAATAAAGACGAGATATGTTATAAATAATAAGTGTTTTGAAGTGTAGTAGGCTACGGAGTTGAAAAAACGTTTCGCGAGAATATCTCTATTAGATCTCTCATTGCATTTAACCAGAACCTTTGTTCAGTCCAGCAGTATTTTCCATATGTTTTTCGTAATGTCTTTATTTTGTCTATCCTAAAATGTTTGTTATACAGCGCAAGAATGTAGATGAAAACGGGAAATTGAAAACCATACTAACAAAAAAAAATTTTATACCTGAGTTACAAAAAAAGGATATTCCATATTTACTTATTTAAAGCGAATTATATTTGCCTCGATAAACATCCTACGATGTTGGTGTTTATATATGACTGTTGCACTCATCATTCAATTTTTAATGCTTGGATTTGCAAAAGTGTCCTTGTTATCAGGTATTCCACCCGGTGACTTTTATTATATATGGTAATAATATAATAATAAATAAATCCTACAATTATCTTACTCTTGATACTGTGCATTCGTCTCATTCTCTCGAAATTTTGTTTTTTGAAGGTTCTACTTCTTACACGTGTGATCTGCACGCATGATTTTTCTTTTTAAAGTTGCGCCATTTTTACAGAATTTGATTTAGGAAAGAATCTTTATGTACTTCTATAGCTAATAGTACATAGACTAAGAAATTCTTTCGTTTTCTTTTCTAAGTCTCATACTTATCCAGAAATCTGTCTGCCCGTTTTGGCCAAAAAAAGGATTTTGTTCAGCCACGAATACCGACGCCATTTTGTATCTAAAATCAATAAAAATATTTGTTTACATAGTTCAATATATGATCAACCAATCTTCAAAAAAGAAATTTTATTCCTTATTTAGTGTTCGCAAAAAAAATTCTCAAACAAAGTTTTTTTTTTAGGCTCTAGAGTGGTGTTTACCCCTTAAAGATCGTTGTGTGACTCATCATGTAATACACAACTTTAGCCAAGGCAATATCAATATATAATACAGCAAACATAAAAGAAAACAAGGCAAAAAATGGAAAAATATATACAACTTGCTGTGGAAATCAAAGACATTTCGCACCAAATAAAATCGAAATAATACTCTTTATATTATCGACTACACAAGTAATACTGCAAAACATACGTCAACACTTGCACAAACATTTCAACACATAAATATAGTTATAAAAATCAGTAATCATTAACACATGTTCAATTACATGAAAATTCTTTAACACGTCATAAAATTGCAGCTATAAAAGAAACGCTTGACCATAAGTCTAAGTGATTTCTTATCTTAAACCAGGCAACTCTTCGAAAGGAAAAAAATACTACAATAGTTTAACAATAATAATAAAATAATGATAGTAATAATATTATAATAACAATTTTAATATTAGATGCAATAATCATTATAACTACGATGGTAGTAGTAAAAGAGGGAGTTTGATGTGAGTTAAAATGTAACATCAGACTATCTTTTTTCCAATATTATAATCTATTATTATTATAAAAAAAGTGATATTATAATTTGAACTAATAGTAAGGTTAGTCATTCAGTGATAATCTTTACTCAGACCTCCCTACAGGATTTGACAATTTCCTAGTCCTTTCGCTGCGTACATTTATCCTACTACCTGTGAAATCCGCATAAGTCAAGACTTTGCATTGGAATTAAACAAATATTTCCAAGGTGTTTGGCTGGTGTGCGTGAGATAGTAATTGATAAAGTTTTAGCTGATTTTACCAAAAGGTATCTTAATAATACTACTTCCATTGTTAGGAAGATCAGTATGCAAGA